TCGTAGAGATTTCTAAGTCCTTCAAAATACCAAATAGACAAAGGACAGCAAATTTACTACGATTTGCCAAAGCGATAGCAATCAAACGATTTAAAACAGACTTATGTATACAGAAAGAGAGTGTGATTAACCCCTCACTCCCTTGGTAACTGAATTTTGATTTTGATTACATTAATTAGTCATCTAATTCAGTGATCTCAACTCACCGAACAAATCTTAATATATTAAATATTCCCATAGTAAAATTTAGAACAACACATTTAAGCGAACAATATTGTTTTCAACAACTATTCAGGTGGAAGTAGTCGATAATAGTTGTTTGTTTAATCATACTGTTTTTTCATTATTCGTGTTATCACAGATTGCCTCACTTTTTCATTCTTATTATTGATAAGACCATTATTATTATTACTATTGTGACTAATTGCACAATTTATATTCACCATCGTATTATCCTATAGACAAAACACCATGATTGGTTTATATTTGAATTTTTATTTGTAAACTTATATATATTAGAGTTAAGCCTGATGAGATCCAATTGAAAACAGTACTGTTCGCTTAAATGTGTTGTTCTAAATCTTAATATCATAAACTGTAACCGTTTTTGTTTTTTGAGTTGCTATGTGAACCTACAAGCTAACCCTGTTCTGTTGATTAATTCTTTCTATTTTCTATCTTACCCCTCCCCCCTCCCATCAACTTTGAAAGCGTATAAATAGATAATGAAAACTTAAACTCAAAATTGTAACGCTTTCATTTTGGATGCGTCACTTTTATAGTATCTCTTCTTTACTACCACTTAAATATTAAAGTATGTTATTATTATGTATATAACCATTGTAATTTCAGGTAGTCTGCAGTTAGCTGATGAGAACCTGTGAAATAGAATGATATCATTTTATACTGCAAATTTCGTCTTCCTTTCTTTATCGAATGGGTATTTTTCTTCTTGCAGCAGGTGGATGTTTATTCGTTATATTATTGATCATATTCCATAGCGAATTCTATGTCAAGATGGATCTTGTTAAGACGACTAAACAGTTTATATGTGTGGTGCACATCACTCCTTACAAAACAACAAACGTATCATCAGAGCATGGGTAATGACAAATTGTTTCATGAATTGCAAAACTTATCCGTGTCTAATCAAGATATCAGCCATGACAGTCACCGTATATGAACCCATGGCTAACTCACCAATTTTTCCGTAGAACTGAATATTAAATTTAAACTGAATGTCTTTTATGCAAAGAAGTAGTAGTCGCTTCATTTTTAATTTGGGTAGTGATAGCATATCTGTTCGTTTCCAGATTACAGACAGGCTACAAAGATTACGAAAACCGTTGACATGGTGAATAAACCATTGATAATATGAGGCTCAAAGATACGCCAGACTTATAGATTTTGGGCAAACTATGCATAAGTGAGAGGCATCCAACTTTTGAGTTCATCACACGCTTCACTGACAATAAGATTCTGCGTAAAGTTTTCTGAGACATTTCTTTGATATATTTTCAGGCGCTGTTGTTGCATCCTTTTTAATTCAGTCCACCTGGAATCTCACTCAATCGTTAAGAAATGACCGTATTTTATGCAAACAACCATGGTTGAACACTGATAATATCATCATTGTCGTATAGTTTCTTCAACGGTGTTTCATGCTCTTTGGTCAGCATCTTATGTATTTGGTGGTTAGTAAAATGTTATCTAATATGCTATTAGGTATTCGACAGAGATTCTTCTGGGATGAGATTTCAGGTGATAGCACCTGTCTCACTATTTGGTGTGAGGAGCAACCTGTTTGCAGACGCTACTCGTAGAACTTTATCTGGACCTGTTTTAGTTAGACGTTTTTGTCTCCGATTGATGTAAAGACAGTAGTTATATACACACAGAAACAATTTAGTCAAAACGCGGTGTTTTTAGAGATTTCACTATGAATTCTCAACTCTCTCTGAAATATGTTTCTCATACCTTTTGCGTTCATTCTATGGCTTTTCATAGACTGAACGATTAGTATAGCAGTGTGTTATGACATCTCATTGTTAAGCAGTTTTTCTACAAATTTAAACATAATACTCCTCAGTATAGTGAATTTTATGCTTAATGTGCCTTATATTTCATTCTCATACTTCTACAAAATGTCTTCACTACTGCTCATATGGAATCGGACTTTGCCTGTCACAGAGTTGGTAGGTGACAGACTTTGAGAAGCCAGTCGACCGATGTGTCCCCTTTCGATGAAAGCATAATACGTCCTAGTGTTTGAGAGAAAAGGTCATTTCCGCGTACTAGTGCAAACAGTGATGGAGAAGATACCAGATAGGTAGAGACATCAAAATTTCAATCGCTATGTGAATTCCAAGCTGAGAAGTGATAACGCATGATGAGAATTCATAATGTTACAAGAGGCGCTCAGTAAAATGCATGAGAACAGGGTTTACTTCGGAGATTCCTGCGTTCTGGTTTGGTAATTAGAGGGAGAGTGTACCGGCATAAGGAAAACCGCAAGGTAACATGGGCTTCACCACATTAACACACATCGGAAGGCAAACAGACTTCATCTGGGCTTCACTTCAAGAAAATGGATACAGCTTACTGGGCATAAGGTTGAGAAAAGGATAAGATCTAGGTTGAGATAACTAACCAGTAATGGGAAACTTTGAGATCAAGTTGAAAATTTACATAGAAGTAGGAGGTTACCTACATTTCAAGTTCACCTAGAAACAGAAAGATTACTTTACAAAGGACACCATGGTAGTCATCAAGAAGAAGTCAGAGATATTATGCAACATCATACGGGAAAGCCATATGGGTCAACAGTGGAAGTTGAACATAGATGCATGATCCTATATACTACCAATTGATTGACATGGGTATTTGGATGCCACTTATATCAACCATTAGTTCTGGCTAGCCAGATCGAAATGATCTAATCTCCTCAAACTGCACAAATGCCCAATCGAGAAGCAGTTTGCAGATTGAGAATTTGATCTAACTCTAGAACTCTCTAAAAGCAATGAAGAAGCAGACCTGTATAGAAATCTTAAGCAGAAAGAGGAGACAGAACAAGGAGTAGCTCATCACAGACACCTAGTAGACGCTAAAGGAGAGAAAAATGATGCAGTGGAAAATGAACCATTCTAGAGAAGAACAACGAAAGGAGAAGATGTGTACAACCCCAAAACACAGAACAGGGGAGTGAAGAGTGCCAGGAAGCAAAAGATGCATTTGTGAAACGCTGGCAAATGAAACAGAACAAGGTAGATGTGAGAGAGACCTCAAAACACTATATCAAACAGTCACGTTGTTATCATGGGGTGGATCAACACATATGAAGCCAGTGAAAGACAGTGAGAGGCAACCAAATAATAAAGAGGGAGAACAGGGGCAACGCCTGGAAGATCCTTTCGCCGAACCCTGCCTGCAGGACGCTCAGAAGTACCACCACCACACGCAGAACAGTTGGTGAATATTAACCCCCTGACAAAAGCCAATGTTTCAAAGGCTATAAAGTTTATATAAACAGGCCGGGAAAGCAATAGGAATTGATAGAACTCACAGAAAAGTGCAGTAATGAAAACGAACACAGGGATCTCAGCAGAAATGCATATGTCGCTACCACAAAAGCTTCAGAATGAATGAAAGGTGCCCAACGATTAGGAGAAAAGCTACTTTCTCAAAATGTCAAAGAAACACGAATTAAAACTCTACCAGAACTGGCTCTGAATCATTCACCTCTCTATTCTCTCTCTCATCCTACAGGAATTGACAGATAGTCTGGATGGAAAACTTCACTCGGACCATACTGGATTCATGTAATCATATGTATTATTTCCTAAGTTGGCTTTCTTTCATAAAAAATAACTTACTGACTTGTGCTTAGGTACGTAGATAAACGGAATGATGACATCTCCACCCTTCTTTACACAATGCAAATAACCAACCCCATCTAAATGTCTTTATTAGCATTATTCTTATTCTTATTTCATGTGGTGTTGTAGCATGTATGTTCAAAACAAGTTTTGTTTTATTTGTATACCAGTCAACAAGAAAGCTGTCCACAACATTTTGAAGTTTATGTCATTTTTTATTTTCTCTACTACTCTGAACAGAATTCAGTGCACACGTTAACCCCTTTGTCCATAAGCTTGCTATTTCATCCACTCACCTGCCTGCATCTAATTTACCAATCATCAAAAGTATGTGTTGTTTTTAGCTTGCGTACTTATTATTATGGTGTATTCTGTAAACCATAAAACTTATTATGTGCTTGTAATTTAGAAATTTGGGATAATCTGTACGCTTAAACTGAATTTTATCCCAACCTTGAACCAATTACTTATAACAACATTTCATTGAATGAAATACACGTACACTTCATGTGCCTATTTTGTGATCTTTTGAGTTGTCATTATTATTATTATTATTAGCGTTTTTATTACTATTGAGGGTGAGATGCCAACTATGATCATATTACCGTCTGCGGAATTCCACCCAGCAATTTCCACTTAAATCTCGTAAACCAAGAAATTCAGTCACACGAATGACGATATCCTAATCTGCTGAATCTAGAACACACGATAATCATATACTCATAACGACAAATTCATACGAAATTAATTTATTGCTAGTATTCACATATATGTCATAATTTACAGGAAAATATACATTCAATAATACAAAAATATGCATACATAATCATAGGTCATTGTATCTAGAAGGAATATACATAATATCACAGATATCTCTCTATTTTCATCTCATCGCTGTTGTTCTTCCTGTTCTTCTTCTACGTCTGCTTCTTCGTTGTCTTCGTCTTCACTGGCAGCTTTCTTCTGTCATTTTGTTTTTCTTCTCAAGATTGTACAGTTAAACAACTTCCTGGCCAACCCTTTTTTAGAATAAAGATGTACACGTATGAACAGTATTTGGAATTGTAATTTGTACTACTTACTACCACAATGGAAGTCAATATATGTGAGCAGTAGAAGTAGTAGTAGAAGTGGGAGTGGTAGTAGAATAAGTTCAAGTAACAGTAGTATTAGTAGTAGAAGTATCACAAAAATGCACTCATTTCAAAAATGAATATAGCTAAGTGTACAATAGAAAATAAAGTATAAAGAAGTCATGTTGCTGTTGCCTTTGGGTATTTTATTTTGTCTATGGTTTATGATACAAAAGGACTCTTTGGTTGAATAGATGAACTTAAATTAACTGATTTATTTTACATTGGTAAGGTTAAATTTAATTCTTTCGCCAATTTTTTTGTTTGTTCACGTACATAATTTATTGAATCATTACGATCATTGACTGAGACATCGTCTAATAATAATTTTCTGATCTGTTCATTCAGCTTTTCAGGATCTTGAAGCTAGTTAATGCAGAAAGGTAGAAAATGATAAAAGAAAATAGAGTGAATTTGTTGATATTGAGGAGTGCAACGTCTGTGAAGTAAACACATGGAAAGAAACACTCACCAACCACTTATGTGGATATTAGACAGTTGGAGGCAGTCGGCAAGAAGCCTTGGAACTACGTTTCATGCTGGCTGGCACTCACCAATCAGCAAGGCGTATCTGCAGACTTGGAGGAACTCACATCCATTCTGAGGTTCAAAGTCACGTCACCCAATGCTGCAATCAGAAACATTACATCTGAGCTATTCGTGCTCGCGATTGATCTCCTGTAGATGGTAACTACTGTCCAGTCAAAGTAAACACTCATATGGTGTGGGGCTCGTTTCCCGACCAAAGTACTCCCAAACCCCGCAATAGCTAGTAGCTAGCTCAGTAAGGAGAGAGGGGGTTTTCTGAGGCAAGTAACTTCACCAGGAAAACAGCACTACTGCCAGTGAAACTTTGATGGTCAAGCCTGGTGTCATTTTCTTCACAAGGAACGCAAAAGAATGAAAATGGAAATAGAAGAAGCCTTTTTATGTTTTCCCTTATACAAACCTGTTTCATTTCCACTGCTTAAAACTCACAAATCCTATTCATTGTCAAACACTAACAAATGGAAGAAACAGTTCAGTTAGCGTCCACATTTTTCTTTATAGCTTAGTCATTTTCAATTTCCAAAATTCATAGGCTTACGTCATGTTACCGTAAAATACTATTTTATAGAACACTGCGTCACAGTCAGCATTCAGTTTATAGGATGATGTTTCAACACATAATGGTTGAGATCGATATTAGTGATAAAGTCACAAAGTCGTGACCAGTGGGGTACAGCAGGTCGGATGTGAGGACAAATACTCGCCGAAGACATTGGCTACTGGTCACGTTATTTCATGAATTAACAGAAGTTGGAATTCATGGACCATCAGGTCGAGACACAGTGGTTGAATGGTCAGCGAGCTGGTCTTGTAACCGGAGGGTCCTGCGTTCTAGTCCTTATGGTGTCTGTGTAGTGATGAAGAGTCACAAACTAGGACGAAACAGCTGTCCAGTACTCCTTGGTGGTTTACAATGTTTCTCTAATCGATGTTAGCTCATGATGAAATCCTGAAACCAGTCAATCAAATCCCTGCAAGCCAATATTTGAATAGAACTAATTCGTTTGATGCAGTTTCACTTTATGGAAGTACCTAAGATAAGCATATCATATCAAGTGATGTCTCTATACTGACAATAATTATTTGCCTAAGTTCTGAATAAAATCCTAAACATTGATAAAGTAAAGTTAGGCATTAACAGAAGAAACCACGAAATGACGAAAATTAATAAATAAAGATATTTACGCTTACCTGAGCAGTGAATATACATGAACTCAAGCATGGATAAACTTCAAAGCAAACCATATCATGACGTAGATAACGTTCATAACAATGACGATGCTCTAGACAACTGTAGCCTTTTATCCGACCACATTTATGTACTTCATAATGTGCCCATCGTTTAGTTCGATGACGAATAATACCACCATCTGTACTAGTGGTTGGATGTAAATTTACAAGGTACAACTCATGATTGATTGACAGAATAATACCTAAATTGAATAATAAGAGACAGACAGGGAAAAAACGTAAAAATCCATGTAAAATTACGTTTTAATTTGAAATTAATGCCTCTTTTCCTCACTTGGGATTGTCTTATCTAAGACAAGAAAATAAAGCTTAAATCCTTCTCCCTTGAAAGTAATAACACAGGAAATGAGACAAAATTGAAGACAGAAAAAATAAACGCAACAAATAGTGACGAATTTTAATGATCGTTTTGTTTCTGTTGTTGTTGTTGCTTGTATTTTATTTTACTACTCGACATGTGTCATTCATTCAGAGTTAAAAAGCACCTTGTACCGCACAATACATTTTCCTTTAAACCTTGATTTCATTAATTTAGATTTTTTTCCTCAGTACGATTCATAATTCACACCTGCGCAAGTGGTATATGTCCACATGTATACATAATACAGCCAATTTTGATTTCTTTTTTTTCCCTTAAGCTTTAACTCCCTCCACTTTCTCTGTTTTATTTTATTTCCAGGGTACCAACGAATAAATGGATGATTTATCAGTGTGCACATGTTCATAAATTGTGAATAATGATGTCATAAATTAACCACTTTACGACGTGGTAAATATGGTTAAAAGTTTATTCAACTGATTGAGAAGTTTTTCTCTCTCTCTCAGTTATTATTTCCTTTGCTAACTACTTCTCCAAATAAAAATGAAGTTCTGGTGCTACTTTGTAGGGATTTGATTGATTGGTTACAGGATTTCATCATGAGCTGACATCAGTCAGAGATACACTGTAAGAAGAGTCTCAAACTAGGACTAAACAGTTAGCTATCCAGTAATCCCCGGCTTTTAATGATCCTCTCACTAATATCAGCTGGTGATTTATCTTTAAATTACAATGAAAATTGTTCAATATTAGTATGTAGGCGTGATCATTAACCATTGAAAGTACAATGAATGTACTTAGTAACACTGATTAGTACAGAAACGAGAAATATGAATAATTTTTATGCTGAATAAATCAGCATTGAAATATAATGCATACTGCACAACGAATAAAGGAAATGCATAAAATATACGTGTATAAACGAAGTATACAATATCTGATACATTTTTGTAAAAACGGAAAGTTGTCACCGACTAATCTAGTGATCATCCATAGGTAGGCGGATGTTAAGTCTAAGAAGCAGCATCAACGAGAAAAGTAATTTACAAAATGCTTTCTCTCGAGCTTGTCTCGTTATTCTTCATAAATGTGGGAATACTCATCCCGTTCACCTACGAGTAATGCAAACCAGATTAAATCACACTTGATGAGCAGGCGAGAATAGCACATGACTTCTGTTCAATAGTTAACATTGAGTATGCCTGAAACATGTCACAGCTGTCTCAATCTATAGAGACGTATTGCATAATATTCGTTTAACTGTCTATTTTTAGTATCATTATGGCTGAATCTCACATTTAATACAATTTTATTGAAACTCGGATATCGTTTAAAGGATATATATTATACGCTTATGCTATTATGGGATGAGGCATCTCTTCTGCCTTACACCACAAGAAAACCTTCTCGCTAATGTCATCACTATTCCAGTGGTTAACAACATTTGACAAAAATTGGCACCAATAATTTGACTCATACTCGCCTCTATCGACTACTAAGTGTATTCACGCACACACACACACACATACATACACACGTGTATTCCTTAAAGCCGATCACCACGCCTACACATGTTTACATTGAAATATTAAAACAAAAAACAAACAAACAAACGAAAAAATTAACTGAATAGTAAGTAATTGTACAATAGTGGTAAATGATTTTTCTTTTCTTAATTCGCAATACTGATAAAATAGAACAATCTGTGTATACATGACAGCAGTTTATTCATTCAGGGCAAGATGAAAATACAAAAGCAGACAGAAATCAAACAGTTCACTATACTAGAAAACAGATTATATATATATACATGTATATATACGTGTATATATATACCACCTACACTGCTGGTCGGCTGGCAATTTCTGCCAGCAAGTCAATATGATATCAATTCAATGTAGTGAACAGAAAACATGTTTCACTGAATTCAACTTTGATCTATTTCACCAAGTGCTTTCCAGTTAAAATGAGTCAAAAAACAGAAAAATCAGTATCATTATCTCAGTGAATGTTGTTAGATTGAATGAGGAATACAGTTAGTCTGTTAGCGATTCAGACATGTGAATGAATATGTGTATAATGAAAGCATAGAGATAACAATTTATTATTATTGATATAATTTCAATGCTCAATAAGATGGAGGTGTTAGTGTGTCAGTATATTTATATGACTTAACTACTACTGTTTCAACATCCAACCATCAGAATGATCCTTAGTCAACATTATCTGATAGGTTGATATGGAATAAATTTAGGAATTTTTACCGGAGATTATCTATGTGACCAATTCGTCAAAACAGATAACTTAAAGCTATCACATACATAGAATAACAGTCAGCCATCAAAAACAATTTTCATTAAAAGTCGACGTTCAAAAAAAAGTGAATTTTGTGAATATTCTGACTAGACTGTTAAGTCAACGGTTCGCTGCTAGAATACTCGCCAGTAAGTCAGCCGGCTTGAGTTCATTTCTTGATCGACACACTGACAAGCATTGCCTAGCCAATAGCGATCCCAAAAAAGAGGAATAGTTGGCAGTGAGGCAATGGGTGCGTACTGATGAACGAGTCCTAGACAGACTAGGACGAAACAGCTGTCCAGTATAGCTTTAAATGATGTTAGTTTGTGATCTAACCTGCAGACTAACATTTAAAAATAAATCCATAAATTAGATTGTGAAAGAGTATGTCTGGAGACCCGAAAACGGGGACATGACAGTCACTTGATGCACTCTATTTTCAGTCTGTGGCTATCTGAATGGTTTTGATTTATTATGAAAATCTTCTCAATGCCAGGTTGGCTAATTAAACATGCAGAAAAAAGATGACATGTGATCTGTCAACAGTATTTAACGATGAGTCACTCAGAATAACAAATTATTGTATGCATCTCTGAATAAGTAACCGAACCCTGTTCCATGCCATAAATAAATCGGCTCAAAAATTGTATTATGCGGAAAAATGCTAAGGAGTGGCTGTTTTATGATGATAAGACAGTTGGCAGTCCACTTAGGTAGCTCACATGTTACACTGTTGGAATAGTAATTTTATCTCACCTGATTTCCACCCAACTTCGGCTTTCATCTTGAAAACAATAAACAGAACTACATAAATCAGGACTACAATTTAATAGCTAGTCTCAATTCAGAGTCCTTGTATTTGATTTTCCCCACCTGACAAAGCGTTTCACTCCAAGACACTGAAGTCACACACTGAAAGCATCATCAGCTCTGTTCAATAAGAATGTAGTGTCTTGCATTTTACACCTGTTATCTAGAGGTAATGTACTAGCGTCTTTAGTAGACAAACGTCGTTATTACTGTCTTAATTTGACACCTCACTTATTGCCTCTCTTAAATTGAAAGTCTTCTATCAGTTTATACTACTACTACCACTAATAATAATCCTAATAATAATAATAATAATAATAATAATAAAATCTCTTATCACTTTTCCCCAGCTCACATACAGATTGAATTTTCTGGAAGATGAAATAATAAAAGGAATTAGAAATCTGATCTGATGTTCTGATTTTTGCTTTAGATCATCATCAGTGACCTAATTCATTGAAGTCAATATAAATTTCCATTAGGCTTTGTTCTACATGAAAATAATGCAGATGATGAATGAGAGAGAAGACATGTCAAGCGCCTGATTGTCTTTGTGTGTATGTGCGTGTGTGCTCGTCTGCAGATTCTGCTTATTTGGTGAAGGCATTATGACAGCTATCACATTAATGCACACCTACAGATAGACATACATTAACATACATAACATTATATAGGATGTTTTAAAATTGTTAGATAAAGTGAGAAATGTAGCCTTCGCCTTATGAACTCAGTATGTGAGGACGCAGTAATTGTGGTTAATGTGTCATAATTTATGCACAAATATTAAAATAAAAACAGATTAGGGTTATGCTGGTTGACAGTTGATTGTTTGATTCATCTACTGACTTCATAAACAGGCGTTATTAGATAAAAAGAATTGAACTGAGAAATAAATTACAGGTGTGATAGCTCTGCTTTAACAAAGTGGAGAATAGCAAGTTATTGACAATAAGTATGAAACAGGTTATCCAGTATCAACATGATTGTACATGCGATTTAGGGAGCACTTCACAGACATTTACAGAGTATTTTATTTTTGTCAGTCTATATCCATAATGTTAACGAAATATGTGACCTACGGTTTGTTCGACTTGTATATTACTCTTCCATACATCCTGTATAATATCAATTGAACCTTTCGCAAAGTATTGTGTACACTGCGTTCATTTAAGGCGCCTAAACAAAGCAGAAACTCCCAATATCTGAGATATATATTTGTCATTCACGAAAATATGTTGGTATATTTTGATTTCACTCACCTACTAAGTATCAGACAGATTCTACAGACAAATACATTCAGCATGAGTTTCTATAACATTATTAACATATATCGACACGGCGGCCTATTTAAATCATTGAGCTACCAGAATTTCCATTGATCAAAATACTTAAACTCTTCTGCATTTCGTATTGTTTTAATCACGCAGTTATATAAAATAACCACTACATAGACTCGTGGCAAAAGTTAATTAGCATCCAAATATAAATGCCGTGCAGTTCTTCAAAGACGTTGGGCAAAAACTCATAGAAGTGGTTCTCTCTTCACATGCAACATGATTGAGTAACACGATGTAACCCATATTATTACTTTACATGTAAATTCTGTATCAAAAGGGAATATTTTGAAATGAAAATGGCTCAAAAATTCTGGATCATGACTACACAAAGCGTTCGAAAGTAGCTTCACTATCAATATGAATATTATTAAGAAACTCATTCCATTCTGAACATTACAAAACTCCAGACTGTATCAAAAGTCGTCATCCTCATACAAATTTAACCTCGGTCCCATATCCACCACAACTCACAAAGTATCTCGCCATAAAAATAAACAATCATGAGTATTATTATCATTATTATTCCTTCCAGCTAATTTACAATACCTATTCACCCGAAAACATACTAATCTCTTCTCTTCGATAACTCCCAGTCACAAACACCAGTGGAATAAGTCAATACAAATACCAACGAAAATCTGTACAAAACACGCCAGCCAACAGACCACATGAACATCATCAGGGAAATTCAAGGGAGACATATCAGTGTGTATTGACTTCAAGTGACTGGTAGTAATACTTCAGTCTCTGAATGTCATTAAACACAATATACCCGACTTCCATATCATCATCATCACAATGTCCACATTGTGTGGACACGGAGAAGTAAATCAATTGAGATTCTAAGAGCATGTGTTATGGACATCAACCTATTAACTTCTTGTCTAGTAATGTTAACTGACAGGGCGATTCTGTTCAGAGGCTTCTGTGGGTAACTAACTTAAAACGTGACGTCAATCCATGAAGGGTTTTTGACTATTCGCTAACTTGGAGGAAAGTAAAACCTCAATTTCATCGAAAACTTAAAAGAGTATCAAACAATTACAATACTATTATAAACCATATTATTAGTTTTCCTGTTGCTAATGTCTTGTAATCATTCACAAGATGATGCATTTGAACAATGTTTGGAAACAGTGGGTTGATCACTGACCTTCATGCAGACTTGGATTTCAGTCATCTCTGAGCAAAAGCTATTCATTTGCGTTATTTCGGAATGTTACACATTTTATTGTATATGGGCAATAGGCTGTTATTGTTACTAAGTGGAGTCATTTGATCAACAACTATCAAAAAATGTGTGCAATTTTTTTTATTATAGCTTGACTCCACACAGTATTTTTGCTACAAGTATGGAATTTTCATTCAGCATGTAATATCGGTAGCCCAAATTTAGCAGGCCGACAATTGATATCAAGTGTGCGTCCGCCGGAGATCAAATCCCAGACAATGTGAATGGTCAGCGAGCGTCCTAACCACTGTGCCGCCGACGCACATAATATTAATTACGACTGTGTTAACTAATTTATTTATTTTATTTGAGACAGAAATATCAAAATGATAATGATAATAATTTTTTGAAGTATTTGCCGACTGCTAACGTGAATATTAGGCATAGTTGATTGTTCTTTAGCATACTACCGTTATTAGAAACAGTTCCCTGTGGTGTTAAATGGGCAGATGGATAGACCAAAGATTCAACATCCCCCTCGGTCTATTTCTAAGACTTCTTAAGTTATACTTTTCTATACAAAAAAATTAGCATATTTCATTTTAGATTACACAAAAATTCACTTCTAAACCTCAAGTGGTCTTGGTGTTTTTCTACTCATTTTGTGTTTCTCAGTTTCCACTGCTTTCAACAAACGTATGATTTCTTTTTTCTTAATATGTCATGTTTGGCTGCAAACAGTCTTATTGTTTTTTGTTGTTGTAATTAGCCTCTATTTTAGAATGAAGACATTTTTATTTTACAGTTGTACAGGTGTAGAGAATGAATTTATCATGGGGAACGATAACTTCACTATGCGTTTTGTTGTCCTCAGCAAACAAAAGAATAACAAACATGTATGTAAATATTCTTCTAGGTGCTTAAGAGACCGATCAACCTGCGTTCAAGTAGCTCACTTTATTTAACTTCAAAATTCCAAAGCGATTAGATTTATACAGTCGTTCAGAATGCACATCTGATATCTTATTAACGGATATTTCTAACAAATTTATGCCATGAAATGTTCACAGTGTTGATACCAGAAACAGAATGACATTATCAATCGTTAGCTTTTATTCTACGTAAATCTCTAAACAAAAACCTCATTCACTGAGGAAAAACGAAATACCCAGAGTTGCTGATTAAACATTAATTAACAAGTTTTACGAGTGATTAGCCATCTTGTTTTGATAAAAATAAAAAGATAGTAAGAAATCGTGTCCATTAAGTGTAACCTATTTATTAAAACCATTGAACAATTCAAACATTTAGCGCTTATTTTGAATTAATCATGAGCATTAAAAATGATAATTCACAATAAATAAATAAAAGATTTATGAAAAATCAGAGGATAAATTTTATGCATACATTTGTTTAAACTTACAAAGTAGTAAAAATTTGCACTCCATTTTAAAGACTTGTGAACACCACAAAAAGATAATGTGTGATTGTGTTTATTTGTATATAAATATCTATATGATTATTATTATTATTTTTTATGTTTTGTGATGAACAGTTCGCAGTTCATGCAACGTTTTGTTTTGCTTAATTTTTCTCACTTTTATATACATTGAAGTGTGTATACCATTTCTTGTGTATTGTGCAAAGATTCTAACGCCCACTTGTTTACTTTTCACCAATTGACCAATCACAGTTAGGCTGTACAATTTTCAATGAATAAGGAAGAAATGCCAAACTAAGAGAAATCATGATAACATCTAAAGTCATCATTTCAATTAAATAAAAGCGTGGCATAAATTCAATCAACAGATAATTTATGTTCTTCCAATTATGTAACAATTTATTTGTTGCGTGGGTGGCTGAAAAGAGAGGAGAGAGAGAGAACGGTGACTAACTTGTAAACATTCGATGAGATGATTATCAAGTTTGTTGATTCATTGAAATTAATAATAGAAGACCGGTGTGTGTGTGTGTGTGTGGATAAACAATTCGTCTGTTTCATTAAACATTAACCATTTTGAGGTCGAATGTAAGTATAAACTAAAATGTGGACATACCATAAAATATTTATTTAGATAAGCTGGAAACACTTTGTCTACAAGTTTAAATTTTGTTTTATTAAATCTACTAGGCGAAGAGTATCGCATGGATTTGGGTTAAACAGATCCTACGAAAGTACATTTGACCACAGGTGTTTTATAAAGGAAGACGCCTAAAGGAAACTATTATTATTATCTCTTTTAGTTCCAAGAGGAACATAGGGCTTCAGCCGCACGTCTCCATTGTGTTCAGTGCCCCGCCAATGTGTTCACCTGGCTCCACGTCTGCCCATATGCTTTCATCTCCTCTTCACACGACCTCCTCCATGACACCCTCGCACTGACGACCAACTCGCCACTTCCCACTCGAGCAATAGCCTGACGAGAGATGTCACTTGATGATTTTCTAAGAGTATGGCCTATCCACCTCCATTTCTTCCTGCACATTTGTTGCACAATTGGTTCCTGCTGGGTTGGTTCGTTGCCAGAGATCTCTGTTGCTGATTTGATCGATGCAGGACTTGTTTTTGCTGAATCCAGCCTGTCCCAGTAGAATCTATTCATCCAGGACGTATTTGATTATCTCCAGTATGATGCGGTTTAGTATTTTGCTTTGGATAGACAGGAAGATAATGTCGCGCCAATTCTTGAACCGACTCAAGTCTCATTTATTTAGCAATTTGAAACGGTAATCTTTCTTCTAATCCTCAAGTACCTTCCCCTCTTTCCACGCCTTCTTCAGTAGTGGTGTCATCAAGTTCGCTGATGTCTCGGGGTCGATTTTCAACGCTTCTGCGAGGATTGCATCTGGTCCTGCTGGTTTTCCAGTTTTCAGCATCTCAAGAAACTACATCACCTAACTTACATTTTGTGTAAATAGTATTGATAAAATTATACCATGCTTCAATAAATCAACCTGCATCAGTGAACAGCATAATAATGATCATCTCATTCATGGCCTGTTTTGATGCTACTTAATCTCAGCTAAGACTGAAAAGTAACGCATTTTCCATACCATCTTCAGAAAATGAAGTTAAACATTCTCCCAGGTTATTCGATGATCTTCTTCAATCCTGGTTAAGTTATTTGTCTTAAAATGGTATTTCTTCGTACATTTTTTGATGAAATACCTTGAAATTGTTTCAGCCTGACTAGCTGATTGACTGACTAAATGACGTTCCAAAGTGGAACTTTGCACAGAAGTGCAGATCTCCAAGTTGTCACACTTCATATAGCGAACAAAAATATACACAGAGAGAGAGAAATGAAAGAAATTCAGAGGAATTATAGAGGGTGGACACGTGGAGTGTAAAAGATAATAGTATCAATGAGAATTTAACGAATCTCGGAGTACATGAGGTGGAATGAGTTTACACTATTGGGAGTGATCTTGAGCTATGTCACTCAAAGTCGCTGACCGTAATCTCGTAATGTCTCGAGGAACCCACCAAGTGAAAAAGTCAAAAACTTAATGGATTGACGCCCTATTCTGATTTGATCCAATGTAAACTAACATTACTCGACAAAAAGTTAATAGGTTGACGTCCATAAAACATGCGCTTACAATCTCAATCCTACAACTTCGTCAGTTGTTCACCCCCATTCACCTAACACTCTACAACTAATCTCAATATTACTCACCACATTATTAACTATTACACAACCTGAAATCCTATGGTGGAAGAGTTAGCCTATCACGCCATCATGTTAAATTTACAAAACAATTGCCAACTATAATTCATTTGGTCACAAGCATAAGCTTCTTTGAGTAAATGGGAGAAGTATACCACACTGATTCATATGAATGTTCCTAATCTGCTAATTGGTGACCAGTCACCCATCCGTAAAGTTATCCTTACACTGGATGACTCTTCTCCTCGTATACTGAATGCAAGCAGAAAATGATATTTCAAGACTCCAAATAGCGAAAGAAACATGTGTTGCTTCAGAAAGTTCTAATGTAGGTGGACAGACTCTGAAGGTACTCCGAATGATTCACTTCTCCGTGTGCAGACTGTCCACACAATGTGGACATTGTGATGATGATGATGATATGAAGGCGGGTATATTGTGTTTACTGACATTCAGAGACTGAAGTATTACTACCAGTCACTTGAAGTCAATACACACTGATCTGTCTCCCTTGAATTTCCCTGATGATGTTCATGTGGTCTGTTAGCTGGCGTGTTTTGTACAGATTTTCGTTGGTATTTGTATTGACTTATTCCACTGGTGTTTGTGACTGGGAGTTATTGAAGAGAAGAGAATAGTACGTTCTCGGGTGAATGGGTATTGTAAATTAGCTGGAAGGTATAATAATGATAATAATACTTGTGATTGTTTTGTTTCACGGCGAGATACTTTGTGAGTTGTTGTGGATATGGGACAGAGGTTAAATCTGTATGAGGATGATGACTTTTGATACAGTCTGGAGTTTTTGAATGTTGAGAGGCAAATGAGTTGAATTAGGTAGGAATTTCGCTACTGAAATTATTTCTTTGCAGAATCTGTCTGATACCTGTTAGGTGAGTCAATTCAACATGTTGACATGTAATTCCTCCAAAACATTCTTATTACAGCTTTCATCATTTTACATTAGGCGACTATGCGCATCTTACTAGTCTACTGGCTAAGCTGATGCTATGGAGACAGTAATCGACGATATTTAGCATCTCCTTAATGTGCATCTGGTTGTTCATGCAGACACTCTAGTCACCTTGGGGAAAGTCCATGAGTTTCTGATTCCAAAATCGAAAGCAGATTTTAGACATCAATCTGTTTTTCTGTTTCTCTTTATTTCCAACCTCTTTCTGGTAATACAGGACAAGCACATTGGTGGTTGGAGGCTATACACTTGCTTCAGGAGATGAGCATACCTTACGTAATCCACAGTAACTTTCATCTTCTAAAGAAATCTTACAGAAACTGTGAATTCCGCTTCGGAAATTCAATAAAAGACAACTCATCACACACACTTTTTTTATTTGTAATTTACTCTACAAATCTTCTCCTTCCGGAAATAGTAGTACATACACATAGAGAGAATTGTGTGGGCTTTAATTGCATCATTCACACTGTGAACTAAGTATATCAATATTGGTTTGTCAATTATTTGTTTTATTCACTCATCACTTGTAGTGAAAATAAGCGTACTTGAATTTCGGTGTTACTCACTAATGCATTTCTTAAACTGGATGAGTCCACCATTCATGTGATTCATTATTACACTATCACGTGAATCAGATTGAGTATAGACAGACAATAGATTCAGGTGTCTAAGAAATATTTGTAAGACTGGTGTTTCGGTATTTGACTTCTCTGTTTGTTTTAGATGTGTGCTATCCTTATAAATAAATCCTTGCTATTCAACAGTAGAATTTCAAATATTCACAAGCTTAGATTTCTAGATTATGGGTTTCTGAAGGGATATGCATTAATTTCAATGTAGACTTTATCACCAACCAACATCACTTAGCAGTCACTGAACACCATGGAGACGTGAACAGGTGTTCCACCCTAGTTTTGGATTCTTCAGAAGTCCTCACTCATGAAGTAACCAGGGATGGAACTCTGAGCCTTCAGCTTCGATGTACAACACAGAAGGTTTGACGGTATATTGATGGCTGACAACAGCGTGTCCAAATTCTAGTCTAAATTGGTCCTTATGCTAAGGAACATAACCAGGACTATGAAATAGAGTAGAGTACGACTTGTTGATAAGTTATTTCATAAAATACACAGAGTTACACTAAAATCTAATAATGACTTTTATGTCTACTAAGCGTAAATTAACTTACTGTGGCATTATCCTTGCATGTATGAATAGTCTTGAACTATAGTTAAAAACTGATTTTCGTATTACTATTATATTATTGTATCCTTTAATTCCTAGAGGAAAATAGGGCTTCAGCCGTGCGTCTCCATTGCGTTCGGTTCTCTACTAGAGTCTTCACCTGGCTCCAAGTCTGCCCACACGTTTTCATCTCCTCTTCACATGACCTCCTCCAAGTCACCCTTACACTGACGACCAACTCGCCGCTTCCCTTTCGTGTTGCACTCAAGGGCTTGTCTAGTGATGTCACTTGATGGTTTCCTCAGAGTATGGCCCATCCATCTCCATTTCTTCCTCCATATTTGTTTCACAATCGGTTCCTGGTTGGTTTGCTCATTGCCAGAGATCTCTGTTACTGATCTTTTCTGGCCATCTGATCTTGAGTGGTATTGAGCGAAGACAACTGTTAATGAAGGTCTGTAGTTTGTTTGAGATGCTCTTTATGACACGCAGTGCAAGTCTCTGATCCGTATAGTAGCACTGACTTCACATTGGAGTTGAAAATCCGGATCTTATTTCTTTTCATGCTGAGTGCTGTTGACCTCCACACAGACTTGAGAGTAGTGAAAGCTTGTCTTGCTTTCCCGATTCTTGCTTTGATATCCTCGTCAGTTCCGCCTGTAGTTGAAACGATGCTTCCCAGGTAGGTGAAAGAGGTTGTTTCTTTCAGGTTCCTCCCATTTATGCTGATTGTT